TCCTTTGTTTAGATTTTATTCTTATATAGATTAGTTATTAATCCAATTCCCCCATTTACTGCTTTCTTAATTTCAATTAATACAAGAATATCACAATTTGATTCACACTCCTTTGGGTTCGACCCTTGCTCGCTACTACTAGTAGTTGGTAGAAGTAAGTTAAGGAATTTATAAATATTAATTTTGCCGCGTTGCGACGCGCGGTCATTCCCGTTAGACATTTATACTTTATATTAAACGGAAATGGAAGAGGAAGAAGGAATTCGACAATCAATGACGGAAGACGACCATACGAAGTGCAAAGTATGTGGTCTGACATAAAGGAAAACGATTTGTAAACCAATTCGTGTGTGGAGATCAAACGACGTCGACAAGAGAAAAAAACAATTTTAACTTTCTAAAAAATTCTTCGATTAATCTGAAAATTTTGAAATTGTTAACGGCCTCAATAAGATGAGTCCAATAATTGATCGATTGGCAGAAAAGAAGGCCACAAAACAGTTCATTAAGAAGAATAAAGTTGATCGCGCGTCGTGACGCGGTAAATTAGAATTTATAATTTTTCTTGATTAACCTCTACTAAGTAGTAGTAAAGTAAGAGTCCATCCCATGAGTTGTGTGAATCAAATCGTGAATTTTCGTATGAATTGTAATTATATAAGACTATAAAAGAAGGAAGGTTGGATTATAAAATCTAATCTAACTAAGAATGAGAAAATAATATAATAAAGTGACATAAAATAAAATCATAATTAATATATCGAGAAAAATTTAGTTCACGGTTCTGTCTACGATGAGTGTGAATCAATTCGTGAATTTTTCGTATTGATTGAATTTATATAAAGCGACAAAAGAGGGAGATTAGATTATAAAATCTAACTCAATTAAGAATGACAAAACAATAAAATAAAATAGAATTAAATTACTATATAGAGAAAGTCTAGTTTACAGTTTCGTCAACGTCTCGCTCGACTAGTCTACCTAATTGTGACGTCAAGTTTCAGTATCTTCCGTCACACTATCTCTTGAAATTACTGGCCCTAGATAACAACGTGCTCTGCTACCCGAGTTCTTTACAACATATTTGGTCGAAATACGCTATCCGATTGAACCTAACTACTGATTATCTAAACACACTTTTGAGATTTAATGATGTAGCAACGTTAGGATCTAGGAAAATAGGTTAGTTTAAGTAGTAGGCTCACACATTATGTGTACTTAATTAGGTCGTGTTATTCCCGGTAAATTCCGGTCACCGTTTTCTACTAACGAATTGAACGCAACAACAATTATAGAATGGAGATTCAATTTTAGAATTAGATGTGAATAATTCTATCTGGCTAATCTATTTAAATAAAATCAAACACATCGTGATTAATCAAATAAAACAACACAAGTAATTTTATAAAAATGTGAAATTAATCAAATATAGGTGGTAATCAACGGTTAGCTGTTAGCTGTTAGCGGATTGCATTAGCTGTTTTGACCAGCGGATTGCGTTGGCTGTTTTGACCAGCTGATCGTGTTAGCGGTTTGTAAAAAAGTGTGGTAAAATTAACTATTTTAATTAGCTGTTAACATGTAAAATTACTTATAAGAACATTAACTTACTTTGCCATTTAAATTCATATTGAACTTATAATTATTTAAGAAATAGAAATAATTATTATTTTAAATATCTAAAAGTGAGTTAAATATGATAAAAATATAAATAATAATAAAATGAAAATATTTAATAATCAAGTAAATAAGTTTAATAAAAAGTACAAATAATAATCGATAAAAAAAAAACGCTCTCAAACCATGTGACTTGAGAACATGGTTAATTAAGTAATTGTAATTTATTCAAAAATTCCACTCCAAACGCTGCTACTTTCAGCGTTTCCAATTTGGAGGTTTGGGCATCCAAACGCTGCTACTTCCAGCGTTTCCAATTTGGAGGTTTGGGCATCAGAAGGCTAACTTGAACAACCTTTTTTTTGGTAGTCAGGCACGGTATCCGGAACCATGCCCCGACTAATCCGTTGACCGACCCGGGCCGCACACCTGGCAGTAGTGGGTGAGTCTCCCAGCAAGGATTTTCTGCATCCACAAGGCTAACTTGAACAGCCTTTAACCAAACATATTTGTAAGCTTATTGATAAAGTCAAAACTGCTAAAAGATCAAAAATGCTGATTTTTTGTTATAAAGTTATTTACCAAACATGACCATAGTCTAAGTTTTGCATGAGATTTAATCCTTTCCAAGTGATTCACTACATTTATTTCCTTCTCTCTAAGCTAGCCTTCAAAAACTGTTATGATGTAACAAGTGTTGGG